CTGGTGATTTTCTAAAGTCCCTTACAACCTCTTCATTCTTTTCTGTGATGGCAGTGGAAAAGTAGTGTGGCTTATAGGGTTAAACAGTGGATAAAAACCAGTAAGATATGACTTCTCTTTCTAATATTGGCACTGACCGATATTATATTGGCTATTGCTCCTTAATTGGGAAGCTACAATGAGCAACAGATTTGAAGAGTAATTTGGAATGAGATCCAAATTAAACAAGAAGCATTGACTTATGCCATTTACTGCCCACTAAAAATTTGAATTTATAGCATCATGAAAGGACAGGCCAGATTGCATTGGTGTTTTTAGTTCTCTTTCAAATTTCCAGGCTTTATCATGACAGACAATAGCATAATGTTTCTATTTCCTTATTTATAAATTAACAATAAAAAAAAAAGTTTGATTTCACTTTTCATCTACCTGTGGGACAATATAGAACAAAGACCAAAAAACCCAAATTTGAAATACAAGTTTTAGGAAATTTTTTAAATGTAGTCACAGAATTTGCCATACCCCCAGATTTTTGTGCATTATAGTTCACTGAGTATTTGAAAATAGAGAATACTGGCAAATTCTTGGGTATAATTTTTGTCTCATAAATGGGATTCACTAAGCTTAGTTTAGAACATATTTAGTTTTCATTTAGAAACCTTTTTTCAGTCCTACAATCTCTGGATAGAGAGGTGATGCAGTATAGTAGAAAGAAGGGGTTGGCCTGGAATTAGACATCTAACACGTGTTAAATGTGTGACCATGGGCAAATCCTTTAAATTCTCAATCCCTCCCCCAGGAATTTTTCTAAGATTACAAATTATAGGCATCTGTATCAATGGGAAGAATGCCTACAAAGGGAATAGGCATCCCATAAGGTAGTATGTTTCCATTAATTTAGGAGTTCTGAACCTGGGGTTTGTAAACTTTAAAAATAATTTTTATAACTATATTTCAATATAATTGGTTTCCTTTGGAATTAAATGTATTGGATTTTAATCATTTAGAAACATTCTGAGAAAAGGTATATATACTTCACAGGACTTCCAGAGGAGTCCATGACACTAAAAAGATTAAATGCATAGGATTATAAATTAATTGCAAAGGTGATAAAGCAAAGGCTGGATCACCACTTCTGAGGATACTCAAGAAGAGAACTAAGGGAAGTTGAATTAAGTGAATTCTAAATCAGCTTCCAATTCTGAGATTATTTTATTCTATCACAAAAATTCTATCTCAAAGATAAAGAGCTATCTATGATTTTAGAAAATATGGACATGGACAGCTTATATTTAAAAGCTGTTGGAATTAGAATTCATACACTATTCAGAAAATTGACATAATTGAATACCTAGAAGAATAGTCATTTCACAGAAGAAGCTAATTCTAACTATATGCATTAAAATAAATCTCTCAACAAAGTGGCCTTTAAATCCCTCGTGTTCTGGCATGAAAAGTTCAAAATCTCATTCAATCATTTAAGAGAAATTGTTAGTTCCAACATGTTTGAGATGCTCGAAATTAGATGGTCATTCTGACTGCGTGTGAATTTTGTGGATTGTCCATATTCATTGTATTTTTTTTACACAACCCAAAAGATAAAAAAGACATCTTTTGTTTGGTGTTGTTCTACTGCCCTACCATTCACTTCTTCATGTATTCTGCCATATCAATAATACATTTCCTTGATTTCCCCCAATACTTAAACTATTACTTTCTACTGTACCATGTAGCCCTTACAGGGGGATCTCTATTGACAAGGATCAACTACAGTAACTATAGCCAGGAACCATGACTTATACCTTGTAGGAGCTTAATAAATGTGTGCTGAATTCTAATTCAGAGTAAAAAAGTCAACAGTTGGATACATATTTATTAAGTGCCTATTGTATATAAGACCAAATGCTGAGGATCTAACAATAAGAAACAGTTCTTTCAATCGAGGAGCTCACAACCTAATAGTTGGGAAATATAAATCATAATACAAGGCAGAATTGCGATAATTGCAAAGGAGACATTCAAGTTTTATGAGAAATTTGTCAGTGGAATATCATTCATACCTGGGGAACCTAGGGAAGATTTCATGGAGGAGTTGCCACCTCAATTGAGTCTTGAAAAGACTAAAAGATAATTCTTCATTTCTAATAAATGACTTCTCTATCAATTAAATATGGGTCATTACATAGTTTCATTTAAAAAGAATGTTTTCCTTAATGGAAATTACAGAAGACCCATACTATAACATAAGTGGTCACTACATGAATTTGAATATACTGTGGGATAAACTACATCCCTAAAACAAAGTTGTATTCAGCAAAAGTCTAATAGAATATGATTGGTCTGAGAGGCAGGTGTTAATTACATTCTTTAAAATCAAGCAAATATAAATAGGTTCCACCATTTTGAGCAAGATAAGGTTCACCAGTAAAATTGGCTGAAGCTTCAAAAAAATGTTTAGGGCAGACTTCAAAAGCTGTTAGTTGGTTTTCTCTGGATATTCATTTTCCAAATGTGCCTACTGGAAGAGACACAGTTAAGTGGCTAGAGTGATGAGGCAGGGATCTGAGAATTCAAGTTCTTCCTTTGTTATCCCTCTGGGGTTCTAAGACAACACTTAACCCTCATCTGTAAACTGGGGCAATAAACCTCCAGTCTTTGCCAGAGTGTTATGAGAATTAAATATTTAAAGCCACTGAAGATAAAAAGTGCTATTTTAATACAAAATGTCATCTATAATATAAAAATAATTATCTTTTGGTGGTACTGTGGTATACTATAGTGATTAACAAAGAATGTTCAGGTGTGTTGGTGTCAACAGAATAACAATAGATATGAGTCAGAGACATTTTTCACCTTGTCAGAGGAGCAAAAGTAATTGCGTTTGGGTGCATATTACAAAGAGAATTTCTTTGATTGTTGAAGTCAATATTTATTCATCCTTATAATTCAACAGAGACCTCAACCAATTGCTTAGTAATGGTTTCAGAGTAGACTCTGCAACTCTGGTTGGCTCTACAAAATCGTTTTCTACAAATAATAGAAATTATGTGGAGATATATGACCCTACCTCATATGCCTCCCAGTTCCATACTCATCTTATTTTCTTTGCTGTTTATCATGTCAATTTGTATGCTTGGTGCACTCAATGGCATCTAGTGTTTAAAGATTATTTCTTTCAATTTATGAATAACAGAACATACCAATGACACTGGATGATTTTCTTTTATTATTATTGCCTACCCAAGAGACTTTTTCCATTTGTAAATGAAGTATCTTTTTAGTAGTACCATCTTTGTTTTTACCCAGTCACCTCAGTAAGTTACAAAAAAAAACCCTTATATTTGTTTTGAAGCATTTCCTTTAAATAACTGCTTGCCTAGTGTTTTTAAAAATTATATTTTATTTATTTTAGGCCAATACAGGAGTTTGCCTCCAAGCTACTATACAGATATAGCAGTTTCAAATAACAAATCTCAACTATTTCTCCAGTTACAAAACAAGTAAATCGCTCACAGTACAAGTAAGGAAAAACACTCAAAATAAAAGCAGAAAGGAACTAGTGAGTGAACCAGGGAAATTCCTGCTGTCAACATGGTAAACAATATGTGTAGTCAGTTCAAATCTCTGAGTTTCAAAGTCTCTGGTGGTTTATGCGTGGGGCTAGAAGGCAGGTGTTACCTCCTCTTACAAGAGTCTAGCCTTAGGGGGAAAAGTTAGATAAATTGGAAGATACATTACTTCTTTTCAGAACTCTAAGGTCCTGTTTAATTTCAGAATCCATACCTTACCAAATGGAATGCCCAGGGGATGAAAGTGAAAATGCACCTCCCAGCAGAGGAAGTAGGCCAACTCTACCTCATTGTTTCCTTTCATACACTGAGAAGAGTTGTCCTTATTAAAAAACTTCCCCATCCCAATTCTTCTCTTTCCTTTTCTTCACCCTGCTCCCCATCTTTATCCTACAGTATCTGACACAATGAAAATAATAGAGTAATAGAAAGCAGAATTTCTGGAAGTACACATCTCCAAACTTTCTGCATTTCCTTAAAGAAGAAAATTGCTATGTGCCTGCGAAAATGAGTACACCTCTACTTCAGCAGACTGTCAGAAAGAATACTAAGAAGATACTCTCACTCTCATTGCCCACTATGGTGCTAGAGTATCAAAAAAAAAATACACAATGAAATGTATTTTAGCATTTCTTGTAATAGAAAGGTTTTTCTTTGAACTAGGAGGGTTTTTAATTGCTTTTTTAATGGATATGAAAAGATAACTTTTAATGTTTATGTTGAACTTTACATTCTTTTTTAATGTGTGATTATTATTCTTAATTCCATTGGAGGTATTCTGTGAAATAAGTTTTTCACAGTAGTATAAAGATAAAATGACTCAATAATTCATTGGTAACTACCATGTAACTATAGAATGATTACATACTTTGTGGATTATATAGTCCTCATAGTTGACATTGTTTAGGAAATCTAATAAACGAATATATAATTTGTAGTTTTCAGATCTCAAGGTCAAATACCCATTTAAGTGTCCTTTTATTACATGGCCCTGTCTTACCATTAGATATTGGTCAATAATAGCCATATTATTAGAGATATATGGTTATCTGTGATATCTAGAAGCTGAAGTACTAAACTGTCTCCATAATATTGTTTAACTCTCATATGAAGATACAAGTTCATCTACCTAATAGATTCCTAGTATAGGACTAAAGTCTATCAATTGAAGTCTAAAATGTAAAGCATAGTATCCAACATAACCAGTTCTTAGAATGTCCTTTCTTTGCTGTGCAGCAAATTGTCTCTTTGCAACTTAACTCACAATGTGGTGGTTCAGGACCTTATTAAAGAAATGAAATGAATATTTAATTAAAACTCACTGTTATAATTTGATCTTGCACTTGAAAGCATTTTTTTTAAACTTGGATTTGAGAACATGCCTCCTCCTGAGTAGTAACACTTTCTGATGTTGCATATTTGTTTCTGCAGACCACAACATTAATTGGCCTTTTGAAGACAGCTAGGCTTCTGCGATTGGTGAGAGTGGCACGGAAATTGGACCGATATTCTGAATATGGTGCTGCTGTTCTCATGCTTCTCATGTGCATATTTGCGCTAATTGCACATTGGCTGGCTTGTATTTGGTATGCCATTGGCAATGTAGAAAGGCCTTACCTGATTGACAAAATTGGATGGTTGGATACCTTAGGACAACAAATTGGAAAACGTTACAATCAAAGTGATGCAAGCTCTGGACCATCCATTAAAGACAAATACGTTACAGCACTTTACTTTACCTTCAGCAGTTTAACAAGTGTAGGATTCGGGAATGTGTCTCCTAACACCAATTCGGAGAAAATCTTTTCCATTTGTGTCATGTTGATTGGCTGTAAGTAAAACTTCTGTCTGATTACCAAACAGAATAAATACATTGACAATTCTAGGATAAGTCTGTTGCCAATAAAGGGAGGGGAGAAAGATAAGTGAGGAAAATTGTGGGCATAATGGAATATCAGATGTTTTGTTTTATGGGATCTGGTTTATTCCAAAGCAGGCACTATAAAAAACAATTAAAGGTTATTAGAATCTAAGCATACCACCAGAATAAAGCTGGAATTACATTATTTTTAGGATTCTGGAATGGAATAGTTTTATATGGTGTTCTTTATTGCTACTAGAGACTTTTTTTTCAGGAAGTATTTCCTTCTCAGGTAGAGGCTTGCATGAATGCAAGACAATCTCATGATTCCATTTTTGCAGAGATGTAAGACTTTTTCCTTAGGCATTAATGGGTCATCTACTTGTGCCACTGCACTAGGATGTTGAGAGTAGGAAAGTGGGGAAAACTATAATTGCAGTGGGCTAACATGATAGCCATCAGTTTTGAACTACTTTAGCATCCTTTGAGGTGAAAAATCCTCTAAGTTTACATTTCAGAACCACTAAAGGTGTAGTGTTGCTACAAGAGAGTAGTTTAAAAGTGTCAACTTTAGATTGCCAACTAAACTCAAACACTTACTTTCAATTTTTAAAATATTGAATTTTGAAAAGTGCTTCTACAAGTCCAGTTTATTCTAAATGTGTTTTTTCCCCAGTTTATTGACCAATTTATTTAAGATACATTTCATATATCAATATATATGTGTGTGTTTTCAACCTTGAACATTTGGACATTTGCATAACTAAATAAAATTGCCTTTAAATAACTATTGATCCTGCTCCCAAAGCCAAGCAAGCATTCCTAAAGAAGTGGTTTCTCTCACAGCAAACTTTCTTTCCCCCAATCCTATGGAGTATATCAATAAACATAAACTTATGCCAGCTACTACTTGAAATGGCATATGTAAAATACAGGCATAATACCCAGAGAAGAGTGGAAAGAGCAAGGACTTTGTCTTTAACTGATTACGTGCCTTGTAAAGAAATTCCAAAGGGACTGGCTGCCTTGAATTAGAACCCACTTTTTCTAAAATGAAGATGTAAAAAAAATATAAAGTGCTGGGGTTTGTCCTCTCCATAGTCATATAAAGTAAAGTTATCAAGGGAACACAAGCATTAATCAAATCAGTATTAACAAAGAACAGGATGTGTTTATTCAAAGCACTATAAAAAAAGCAATTATTAAACACAGTTTATTTATATTCTGACTTGCTTGAAGTATGTATCCCTATCTTTCCTCTAAATATTTGCCCTTGCTTCAGACCATTGAAGAGTAATAGGAGCGGCTTAACATTTTAAAGGCTTTAGTATAAATAGAAAAACAAAGTCAATGTTTGGGGCAGACCGAGCAACCAAGAAATAGCCGTTGTCCTTATTAGGAACTATCACTTAGATTGAAAAGAAATATTGAGAATTGAGGGGTTAGCCACATGATGGTGATGATGATGATGATAAGGGTGAAGATGAGGATGATGATAGCAATAACAACAACATTTATACAGTACTTTCTATGGACCAGGCACTGAGCTAAGCACTTTACAAATATTATCTCCTTTGATCCTCACAACAACCCTAGCATATAGGTTCTATTATTATCTCCATTTTACAATTTGGAATACTAAGGCAAACAGAGGTTAAGTTACTTGCCCAGAATCATACCATTAGTAAATGTTTAAGGCCAAATTTGAACTCACATCGTCCTGACTCTAGGCCCAGCATTCTATCCACTGTACCACTTAGCTGCCTTGATAAATAATTGTCTCAATAATAAATTATGTTTGTGATATTTTTTTAATCAGCCAAATATTTGAGGCTTTATAATCATTTTTGATGAACCAAACTCTTTAGGGTCATCTAAAGACCAGACCTATGATTTCATTGGAAAAGGGAAATCCCAGGAGAGGAAATTCATTCTATCAATGCAGACCTGAACTTTCTCTGCAACTTATTATTTTATAGAATTCCCTAGAGCACTAGGTGAAGTGGTTTATCCAGTTTCCCACAGCCAGTATGAGCCAGAGGTGAAACTTAACCTCAGGTTTTCCTGGATCCAAGGCATTCTCTGTCTACTAAGGAATGCTGCCTCTCTACTCTATCCTTATTAATGATAAATAAATAAAACATTAGAATAAGTAGAGAATTGATATTACTTCTCCCCTAACAAATCTCCCTGCCTATAGTGTCTCCCAAATCTAATCAATTCTTCACCCTCTGATCATGTTACTCCTTTGTCCAAAAACAGTTAGTGATTCCCCACTGTGTACTGAATTGTCCAAACTTTTTATTTTATCATTCAATGCCTTCTGTAATGTTGTACTAGACTACTTTTCCAAGATTATTTTGAACTATTTCCTTTCATATATTCTATTCATAAGCCAAATTGGATTCTTCACTGTAACTCTTTACTTTCTGGTTAGCACTCTTGGTCAAATTGTTTCTGATGCCTAGATCCCCCCATTTCCTCCTGTTGAAATTTAAACCTTCCTCAAAAGTCCAGTTGTAGTGATGTCTTCAATGAATCCTTCCCTATTCTAACCCTTCATTCCAGCTGGGAAATCTAATCTGTTTGAACTCTCATAGCACTTTATAATCCTTATAGACCTACAATATTCTATTTTGTTTTATAGTTATTGGTATTTTCTCTCCCCTGCTGGGTTATAAACTGCTTTCAAGGCCAATGGTTGCGTCTGGTTTATTTTTATATCCCCTTTGCTGCTTAGTATGCATTTAATAAACATTTTCAAAGTGCTTTGCTCTTCTCCAGTTAAACATTCCAGTGGATCTATAATCTTATCAATGTGGGTATTCCTTCCAACAACGAAAAAATAAATCATCCATGTCCTTTCACCCTGTGTGACTCTTATATATTAGCCCTCCTATATATACTCCATGATCAGTCTACTGAAATTCCCTCTGGTTCTCTTGTCATTACATAGGTACCAGTGCAGCACACAGGTAGTCCATTTGTTTACCTTGATTCTTTCTGTATTATACAGATGGCCCATCTCCTTTTCCAGTCATATATCCCTTTGGTGATATATATTGCTCTGTTTTTTGGTTGCAATTCATTGCTGATAATAATCTATACTTGTGCCCACCATGTATCTCCAATATTCTATTATTAGTTGCCTTCACCAACAGAATATTGATATTTAAAAAGAGCATTTGTTTCAGAAAGAAATTTGCAGTCATCAAAAACTCTATGGAATTTTCCAAACACAATCCAGCCCACTGTCTATGTCTTATTCAATTCTAGGCCTCATTCATTATTCTTTCATATTATCCAACCTATTTACGCTACTAGACCAACTCTACAAGCAGCAAATCCAGCTGAATTACATTTTCATCCACTTAAGTTTTCCTATTTGGCTAGTTAGTCCAGTATCATTTGAGTGGTTATGATGCTCACTTAGGAGATTCTGCAATGTTCCAGAGTTTGATTGCTTTGACCAGATGGTCAGGAAGTCTCCCAATTAGATACACCTATGGACATACTCCATAACAAAAAGCATCATTGTATGGTATATATTTCCTTGTTTTATGCCTCAATTGATACTAATAATCAAAATATCACCAAACATATTTACGTTGTTGCATATAATGAGGAATCCTTTGCAATCTTTTCTAACATAAGCAAAAGTGGTAGCTTGTTAAAGAAGAGCCTTTAATCTTGACTTTGTTTTACCAAATCTTTTTTTTAAACAAATAAGCACAGTGGAATCTTATACCCTCTATATACACGTCTGTCAATTATATATAGTCTGCTATACATATGGTTTATAACAACCTGTGTATTCCCTTCTCACATTATATTCAAGGGTGCCCATGAAACATATGTAAATTATTCTCATATATTTTGTAGAGATGAGAAAATAGGCATATGAATCAGTAGTTATTGCTAAATTGATCATATCTTTTCAATAATAACATCTATAGTTTCCCCAAAATGATTGTTCAGTATCTTTCCCTTCTTTAGATAATCAGGAAAGTTATTCCTTTGATCCCCTAAAAACTGTGTTCATTCCTTTTTGTGTACTTAGTTTGATCTAGCTGCTCTCCTCATTTTTGTTCCTGTGGTATTTAACTGAATTAAATTTTCCTTCTTCATGTGCTACTTTGGGGACTATAACAAAGCCCAAATATAGTGGATCACAGGCTCATAGGATGTAGAGCTGGAAGAGACTTTGAGGTCATCTAAGGCAAGCCTTCATTTTCAGATGAAACTGAAGCCCACAGATGATGTGAGTTCCTAAAGTCATACAACTAGTGAGAGAGATGGGATTCAAATTTAATTCCTCTGTTTCCAAATCCAAGACTCACTGCTATGATCAAAAACAAAAAAAGCCTTCTGCCTTCTATGGGAAAAGGTTTTAGGAGAAGAGAGAAGAACTAGAGCCAAATGAGTAGGAAAAAAATATAAAAGCGATTTTGAGGGATTTAGAACCTTGTAAAAAAGGCCAGAGATTGAATTTGAGCAGAAGTCTGGCTCAACTTAGTGATAAGTTATATGAGAACAACTTCGACTGAAGGTGGAGAAGAACTTAATATAAAGTAAGGCTCATTCTGAAAGCAAAAAAAAGAGTAGTTAAGAACTGAAGAGGAGAACTCAAGAAGGAAGAGCAGGTCATTGGCAAAGCTAGGTAAGATAAATAGGTGTAGTGGTTCTGTGTGCCACAGTGGATCACTCAGAATCTAAAGGTTCAAACCAACAATCTGTCTAATAAAAAAATACATATACTCCCAGGTAAAAGCAGTTCCCAAGGCAGTTAAAGAGAAGTTATAGTAATAGCACACAGCAAGGAAATATATCCTCAGATGTAAGCAGTTCATGAAAATGCAAGCAAGTAAAAGCCTTCAGCAAAGAAATTAATAGCAGTTGCCAATGAGAAACTGCATTTATATTCTTCTTGCCTAAAGGGCCCAGAGTTGGATTCCAGATCAATCCATCTG